AGTCATTCTAGAAAGAAAAAAAAGGTTAATTTAGGTTTATTTCGATTTTTTTTTGTGGTTACCATGTTGGTCAAATTGACTGATCCCATTTTGAGATAAGGTAGAGAAAATAACAAATAAACTATAAAGTTTTACTGAAAAACGTTCGAAATGCATTGAGGAGGTTTTAGGGATTACACAAAGAAAATTTGGTTTTTGAGATGATGAAAAGTATTTTTAATTTTAAGATGAAAATTACTTTGCACATGGACTACTTAAAACAAATACTCAATATATTCATGTACAAATCTTTACTTTATTAAAAATACTTCACTAAGAAATATGACTTTTTGTATGGGAAAGACTTGTAATATTAACTGAAAGACTGCCAAATTGAGAGTTATAAGTATTAAATCTATAAAGACCTTAAACGAGTTCAAAAATGTCACATGGTCGGTTAAATTGACCAAGTCCGTATTGAGCGTTAAAAGAGGTTTTGTTTAGTACTATTACTTAATTATCCTGAAACTATAATAAACTAGAGAAATCTAATTGTTGCCATAGCAGTGGTATCACTCTCAGTTCCATAGCAATAACTTCAAACTTGTTGCCATAGCAGTAGTACTACACAATTTCCAAAGCAATTCCTTTTAACTGGTTGCCACAACAGTAGCTACATCAATTTACACAACAACACATTGAAACTTGTTGCCACAGTAGTAGTATTACCAATTTCCACTGCAACATGTTCAAATCTGTTGTCATAACAGTACAACAGTTTCCATAGCAACACATTCAAACATGTTGCCATAGTAGTACTACATCAATTTTCATAATAATAACTTCAGGCTTGTTGCCATACTAGTAGTGCTACAACAATTCCCATAGCAATACCTTTTAACTCTATTGCTATAGGCTCAATTGATTCGACCAAGTTTGTGACCCCAAATTGACCTTTGAAGTTTACATACAATACATTTTAAAGTTTTGTTTATCTTCATGATATTTGCAAGCTTTCAGTAAGCATTACAAGTCTTTTGTAGACACAAAAATCTGAATTTTTAATGAAGTATTTTTACTAAAAATTTCATTGTGAACATATGGAGTCAAAGTATTGACTGCTCTGAGTGTATGAGTACAAAATGGTTAAAAGGTCAGTCAATTTGACAAACTTCATTGCAAGAGTCTGTAATAATCAAGACATGTTTTGACTCAACTTGGTTTTCCTTGAACATAAGTCCTAGGATCTCATTTAAAGTACATTGAAGCCTACACTGACATGACCATGATATTATGATAAACAAACTGCATATCAACAGTCACGTATTACAAATATTTCTCCTATAGTTTTCAGTAAAGTATTAACCCTCTCACTACAGGTATCCTTTTGGGTGCACATCACAAGGTTTTAGTGAGTTACATTTAAAATTTAATTAAACTACTTTATTATCATGATATACAAATAAACTTGACATCAAAATGTAGCTAAGTCCAAATCTTAATATTATGTAAGTTTTAAGTTCTTAATTTTATAAGGCAACTTTTTAGGTTAGATTAAGTAAAATAATGAATAATAAGAATAATAATTTATTATTTTCCTATACTAAAAATAGATTTATGATAGGTATTTATCTCTTTCCTCACATGTATTGCTATTCTTGTTCAATGCTGCCCTCTATATGCAAAAATTTTTTGCATTCCACAAGCCTTGAGCTCCCACGTACCCCATGATCAACATGGTTCAACTGCATCTTGCATGTAAATCACCATGTAACAACCTTCCACCAATAGGAGTAGAACACACTCTCCTGATGCATGTGACTCCCTCTATTCAATTCTACCAAACTATCACTTCAAGATTAGGCAGAAAAGTAAACACCAGCTTTCAGTGAGGAGAAAGGATGGGAAGTGTGAGAGGAGGTAAGTACTTATCAGAAATCTACTTTCAGTAAAGGAAAATAATAACTTCCGATACGGTACATTACCTCCGCTTACATGTATAGCTAGAATCCTACACTGAATAGGTAGAAGGACAGAAATAAGTATCCTTCAAAAGCATCCAGAGAACACTCATGAAATGTGATCCCCTTAGGGAGAGGAACATACATGGAACACTGCACCACTTCCGTATCAGGTATACTCTGCACCCAGTGTAGAGATAGGTGTAACATACAAAGGTGGAAAGTGGGAGAAGTACAACTAAAAAAAAAGGGGAGAGAAAAGCAATTGGGTTAGAATCTGAAACACAGTATAATGGAATCTTAATCCCGTAGGAGAACTATCTACAGACAGGAATGTGGGGAAAGCTAAAATGGAGGTGTTCCAAGGTGTAGGGTGGCTAGGGTTTGATGGCTCATATGCTGCCTGTCAATGCCAGTCCAAAACCAAGCAGCATTGGGAATAAAACCTCCAGTCCGTGGTAGGAGGAGGGTCCACACTGTCTTCACCTCAAGTAAATAAAGTAAAAAGGAAGCATATACTGTGCAAATTGATCTATGAAACAGGCACATGCACAAATCTACAACCAACCACACATCTGGGAACCCAACATTCGAATGGCAATAGAAAGAGATGTGCCAATGTGGCAGGTCACATCAAACTCAAACAGACTGGCACTGCACTGCACAACATCAATCTCAGGCAGTGAAAACTCCCTAAGGTGGAACACAAGAGGAAGAACCTTTCCCAATTAACATTATCCTTCATATAGGAACACACAAAAGCCAGAGTGCAATGCCACCGCACGAAAGTGGATCACCTTTAGAAATATTTAGCAACCTCACCTTCTCGATAGAAAGAACCTCACAGAAGCTAAGGACAACATAAACCTCCAAGAACCACCATATGAAGGTGTAGATCCTGAACCAAATTGAATGAGGAAGAGGAAATACAACCAACACATGTGTGAGGGTTTATCTTCCAGCTCTAATCCAAAACCACTCACTAGGAACCGATATCCAGGTGATGGTAGAATGAGGGATCCCAATAGAATGGGTGAACTGCAATATGTTGGATCTACTCCAAAGAAACATCACCTTCTGAATAGGACCACACAAAGGCTGGAGCACAATAGCTACCTCTGAATCCCACTGCACAAAAGTGGATTGCATCTATAAAATATAACAAACCTCACCCTTCAGATAGAAATACACAGAAGCTGTGAGCAACATTAACCTCTGGAATCCACCACACAGAGGTGGAGCGTATTTATTTGTAGATATGTGCAACATCATCCTTTGGATAGGACTGCACAGAAGTTGGAGCTCAACACCACCCACCGGGACCCACCACCCGGAGGTGTAGTGCATGATTGGAGGATCACATACCATCTCCACCAGCAGAATACCACTGTCCTAATCTCTATTGAATGGAAGCAAACATATTCAAGAGGACTCCTCTATGGTCAACCACCCCAGTGGCTTGAAACCAGAAAGTGCCAAGGATTCCCTTATTTCACTAGAAGAAAAAGGGGAATAAAATGAGGTGGAGAGTCCAGAGGAACACCAACACTAGAGACAATGCAATGAGTGACCATGAAAATCCTATTTTAAAGAGCAGACTGCCACTGATTTATTCAGTCAAAAGGACAGCTATCCCCTTCTGTTTTACCTATGTATGTCCATGGGTTAGTAGAGTTTGGAATGGGCATATTAATGAAGCAAATATATCACAAGGAAAACCTACTAGCAAACTTGTGGAACACCCCTTCTCAACAGTGTGCATTATAAGCCACGGGTATACATCGTGGCCATACAGTGTAGATTTGAGATATAAGAAGCATACCTGGACAGGGGTTGCTCACCATTGAGCATGATTTGAATCCTAAATGGGACATGCCCCTGCAGGGAAATATATATATATATATATATATATAGAAAAGATAACTTACCTGAAGTTTTGAAGGATGACAACAGTCAAAAGGCGGTACCCTGACAAGGAAGAAACAGTTACTCAATGAAGATAGTGGGAGATGAACATACGAGATGGAGGCCACATGCCTGACTGAATAGTTTCCTCCAATAGAAAATGGAGGTGAGACTCCAGGAAAAAAGGGAAGGTGCCCTACTGCAAAGTCAACATGTGAACCCAAAGGTTCTAGAAAATCTCCAAAACAAACAGATCCAGAAAAGGAGCTATGCAGAAGTCATGAAAACAATGGGAAGGTAAATGAACCTTAGAAATGACAACGTCCTTCCCAATAAGGTCCCAATAGCAACAAAACCACGTGTGATGGGATAAGCCTGAAGAGAACAATAGCACCAATGATGAGTAAGGAAGGAAAATGTACCCCCCCCCAAAAGAAACCAGGGGATCAGTGGAATACCTTAGAAAGGAGATATATGTTGGACAAGGACTGTAGGAGAGATGTAAAGGTAAGATGAAAGTGGGAAAATAGACATGGAAGAAATGGATAGGATTATCAGGACTGTAGCAAATAAAGAAATCAAGTAAATCACTACTTCACAACAAAAAAAGAAAGAAATGAACAAGGAAAAAAAGCACAAGTGAAAAATGCCGGCACTCAATCACTACCTAATGAGAAGTGATAGTTCGTTAGAATCAAACAGAGGGAGTCACATACGTCAGGAGGATGTTTCACAGAGGGTTGTCGCATGATGATTTACGTGTGAGTTGCAGTTGAACCACACTGATTGTGGAAGTTCAAGGCTTGTGGCATGCAAAAAAAGTTTGCGTATAGAGAGCAACACTGAACGAGGACAGTTATACATATGAATGAGCAGAGGTGATGTATCATATTGGAATAAAAATTTTTCACAGGGTATGATCATAAGTAGCCTGTGCATTATGTAATTCGATTGGGTTACATAAGCTACATGTTTGCCAAGTGAATTTCAAATTGTGTGGCAGGAATATTAGTTAGACATGGTTCAAAGAGCAATAAAACAACAAAATTTAAGTGGAAACAGATATACATATACTGTTATGAGTTTCAAACTATTTTGGATAAACAATTGTAGTTTCATGTTACAATTTGAAGTTCTTTTAGAAAGAAAAAAGGTACTTTAAATTTATTAGAAATTCTTTTTTTTGGTAGTTACAAGGTCAGTCAAATTAACCAACCTCATATTGAATTAGGGCAGAGAAAATAACATGTTAAATATAGTTTTACTGAAACAAAAATGTTTGGAATTTATTAAGGAGATCTTAGAGATTACACAAATGAAAGTTAACACTTTCTGAAATTGAAAACGTATTTCCAATAATACTTACCTCCTCTCACAGTTACAGCTATTACTCGACTGCCAGGGTTTCTTCCTTTGCCCATTTAAGCTTTAAGCTTTTCTCACTTGCTCCAGTCTTTTATATCCCACTTAATTGCCCTTGGTGATATTTGTCTTGTGCACTCTCCACCTACATCAGTGCACTCTCTATCGTGGTACTATGTATAAGCACCTCACTCACATGTTGTCACTTTTTCAAGACTGACTCAATCCCAGTCTCTAACGCCAGCTCTTAGTGGGGAGGAGGGGCGGGAGAATGTCAGCGGTGGTAAGTATTATTGGAAATACATTTTAAATTTAAGAAAATGTTAACTTCCAAAACATACATACTTCCTAGTGGGGGAACTGCACTACATCCAGAACAGGTATGCTTTTCACCCAGTACTGTATTCATGTACTGTGGGTGGAATTTTACATGACTTGTCATCACTACTGACCAGGCCCCAACCAGATAGCCAAGGTTCCACTACTCGGGGATGGATTTATAGGGTCAAGGTCCCCGAATCACAATGAGAAGATAAGCAGCATTGAAGTGGACAAACCTTCTCCTCAACCTGAAGAAGTCCCAAAGGCAACACCCCCGACTTGGAATGAGAGATCGTGTGTGCCTTACTCAACCTGAGGAATCAGAACTCATCCGGCCTGGAATTATGAACACTCATCCTCACTCCCCAACAGTGTGGGAAAGATAAATTCCTCTTGCCCTCATATTTATTGGGAGGATGTAGAATAGACTGTGCTCAACCAAGGACCCAGGGTGAGACCTCTCTGCATTTGGAATTATGAGAAGACAATGTACCCTTTTCCATGAACAATGTACTGAACCAAACCTGATCAAAAAGAAGGGCCATACACACTCCAACCAGAGAGATGAGCATCAAATCTGTATCAGTATTACAAGTAGGCTCCTGTATAGGTTAGTGCTTGTCCTACCTACATCTGGAAAAAAACATCCAGGGATACAGGTAGGAGGGCTCCCAACTTCACCCTCTTCTCCAAGAGTGGAGGAATTCACTTTAACACCCTGGAGGAAAAATGCCTCTGTTCATCCCCCCAGTGACTGGAAACTGGGTGTGGGACTCCCTAGCTTCACTAGTAGGATCTGGGGGAAAATTTACATAGGGGAGCCCTGAGAAACAGTGTAATAAGTGAATCTAGTTCCCTAAATTTTTAAAAGCAAACCGACCCTGATTTATTCAATCCAATGATCAGCAAAGACAGGCAGGATTCCCTTATGCTTTACTCATGATAGTCCATGATTGACGGTCCAGCAAAGTACAGTAATACCACCCGGCCAGCCTCTAGGTGGTCTTATGAAACAACATTTTTACAGAGCCTGTTGCAACCTTGATAAAGTATATTGAATTAGAGGTTGTTAGTGAGGAATTGTTTCGATAAGAGCACACCTTCCTGGCCAACACTCGCCACAGAGTGGGATCCTGTGAAAACGAGGTAAGAGACCCTGAAAGGTAGCAATGGAAATACTCACCCCTCTGTATAATCTAGCAGAAGTGGTTAAGATAGCTACAGGGGGGTAGGTGAAAACCCTTAGATGAAGATACTGTCAGATCATGCAAATAATGTGAGATTAAAGTATTGTGGGAAGTCCACATACCAGTCCACACAATGTTCTCCAGCATGCAATTCAACCAGGCTACTAAGGACATAGAAATGTGATAAATCTAATTAGATGTGACTCACAGAAGATTCCTCGCCTTCAAAGAGAACCCAGACTAAAAAGTCGTCTAGCATCTCTAAAGGCATTAGTGCAGGCAACAAAACTTTCAAGACCCTCAATAAATGTGACAAGAATCGAAATCTGATGGGCAAAGGAAGAAACCCTGGCAGTCGAATAACAGCTGTAAGTGTGAGTGGAGGTGTTTTGGAACTTGAGATTCTTTAGTTGAAGAAAAGTATTTTTAACCTTAACATGAAAATCACCTTGCACTTAGAGCAGTCAACAGTTTGACTACATATATTCATAGAGAAATCTTTAATGAAAATATTTCACTAAAAATTCAGATTTTTTTGTGTACAAAAGTCTAAGACTCTTAATAATTACTAGAGGCTTGCAAAATTTCATTAAGATACACAAAACATAATTAGAAATAATTTTATCTCCACCATGACATTTAAGTTTTAATAAAGTAAAAACATTCTGTAATTTAACTTTTTTTCCAGTTAAATTAGTACTAAATCTTAACACATTCCAATATTTCATAATTCAGAATAGTTGATTTTGTAAATTAAGCAAAAAGGGATATCAGGTGAGGCTTTCCTCCTTTTTTCTGGTACAGGAAGAGGTTCATTTGGTCTTCTCCGTAATTTTCTTGTTGTTACAGGTTTGACTTCAATGGAGTCTATAAGAATAAATTGAAGAAGTTCTTTCTAGATATCATTACTTAAATGAGCAAATATTAAAAGTACTAACACAAACAAATGGTTTACAAATACTGACAAAAAGAGTCAATATAATAATTTTTAGGATTTTCTTATAAGCATTACAGCACTATTTGATTAATCAAGGATTTTTTTAAATTTTACATCAATATATCAATAATAAAAAAAAACATTAACATGAAATAAAAACTATATCACTAAATAAAAAAACTTACAAGGATAAATTTGTTATATCTATTATTTATTAAATTAAAACAAGCATTTCCCACTTTATTCTCCTCTTCACAGTCAATCACCATAACCACTTAACTGCTTCATTTGATCATTTCTACGAGTGTTTAAACCTAGCTCATGATCTACTTACTGTTCTAGTTTCTTGTAGTTCTGCATAATTTAAACTACCTAATTTTATAGGTCTTAGTGAATAGAATTATCTATTAAACTATTCAAAATGTTCATATGGAATACAACAAACTTGATGTGAACATACAACTTCCACAGAATATATCATATGAAATAGACACTTGCTGATGAATTCAAACTTTTACAGATTCAAGATATGGCTAGTATAAATTAATAAAAAAGAAAGAAACAGCATTCATGTATTACATTAATTACAACAAAATAAAGTGTAAAATGGCAACTCAACAGACTGACACTTACCTTGTGGGTGTAGTTAATAGAAATACATATACAAAAGTTTTACCACCAAATTTAATTTATAACAAACAAATTTCCACTAGATATAAGGTCTCCTCTAATTTTAAAGCTATTACCATTATACTTTAACAGTAAATCTTTTATTGTCAAATAAACATTTTCAACTCATGCTGAAACTGGCAAATCATTGTTTTAAATTCATTACTGCTTCTTAAGCTACATTATTAATTATTATTTCTGTATTAAGAAACTTAGAATTCTTCTAGTTAGGGAATTTGCCTACTGTTAATTCTATGTTGCTTCTTTCATTCTCTATAATTCTTTTTAGAAAGCTAGGTTACAGTTAGGCTATTTGCTTCATGTTAGTTCTATGTCTCTTCTTTCATTCTCTATAATTCTTTTTAGAAAGTTAAGTTACAGTAAGGTGATTTGCCTCCTGTTAGTTCTATGTTGCTTCTTTCATTCTTTATAATTCTTTTTAGAAAGTTAAGTTACAGTAAGTTGATTTGCCTCCTGTTAGTTCTATGTTGCTTCTTTCATTCTTTATAATTCTTTTTAGAAAGTTAAGTTACAGTAAGGTGATTTGCCTCCTGTTAGTTCTATGTTGCTTCTTTCATTCTCTATAATTCTTTTCTTTTCCTCCAGTTCAGCTATGAGATTTTCACGCAATTCAACTTTTTTGTCTTCAAACTCCCAAACAGCAGCTTTTTTTTCACTGATGTATTCTGCTTCAACCCGTTCAATCTGTATCAAAATCAAAAATAGGATTTCACTATGTAATGGTCAGGATGGAGAACTGCCTGCTTCATAGCTACATGTATTTGGCTCTACAGCACTAATGTAACCTGAGAGTTCTAGATTCAAATCCCCAAAAAATTGGATTTCTTTACATTCTAACTTACTATGTTCTTACTAAACTATTAAGAGTATGTAGGTTTTGTGTTAGAAGGTATAATATCAACCAAATTCCAGTAACCTGACAGAAAGCAATATATTTTTTACTGAACTTTTAGTGGTGAAAGTGTTAAATGTGTTAAGATGAAGATCACTAATTCACAGAGCTAAAAGTACAGACAAGTCTACATCATATAAACATACCATCTGTACTTTCTTATATGCACAAGTTCTCAAGTGGAGTTGTAACAAAATGGTGAGTGAATTTCTGCCATTTTCCTGTACTATTTTTCTTCTTTGTGAACGTCTTTTGGTTTCGTTCACATATTCAAAATATACAAACAAAACTGTATTTCATGTAGTACACTGATCAGCACAATGATATGGTAGGTTTCCACTTAACTATCTCAACACGGGCTTGGTCAATTTGATCGACCACATGACCTCTTTGCACTTGTTTAACTCTTTTCAGAACGGGCTCGACCTCGTAACCGTTTTGTGCTTGTTATAGTTTTCATGCTATAACTTTTAAATTAGTAAGCAAATGCACTAAACAATATAGACTAATAAAATGAAAAAAGTAAACAAATTCCCTTACCTCTCAAAAATATTCTGGCTTTCTAACTATGCGACAAGAGTCATTACAAATTAATTCAAGCTAGTCGTTAACTTTCTCATGGGAACGATGTTGGTATTCTGACAGAAATTGACATTTAACCTTTCAGAATATAATGTTATACAATACTTCATTTGATTGATGAAAACCTTGACTTTCTATTGGTTATATGTAATATATAATAAAACGTAACAGAAAACTATGAACGAATTGTGAGGTAGAGGATGTGACAGGAGGGGTCTGATTTTCTATTCGATAGCTCTGTAACCAAACAAAATTGGAGACTATAAAAATTATGGTTTGTTCGAGCAATAACGATTTTATAGAGAGTAATTCACGTTTAATTTCGTACTTTTTCGAGGGGTGGTAGATAAAATAGGGAAGATGACATGCTAAAAAAAAATGTTTGACATGGGTCACACTAGGGAAAATTCAGGATTACTGTTTAAATATTGCCTTGTAGAATTAAGAACTTAAAACTTGTATACTATTAAAATATGGATTATTAGCTAAGATTTTATGCTATTCTAATTGGTATAACATAAACAAAAAGTAGTTTAATAAAATTTTGAATTTAAGACACTAAAACCTTGTGTCATGCTCAGTAATGGATACCCGTGGTGATAGGGTTAAAAGATGAGCAATTGGATATGCACATTAGAAAATTCTAATGTGGACTAAAAATTATGTAGTAATTCATACAAGTCCTTGTAATTTATAAAGAATGAATTAGGATACCTACCAAGTACTCTGTCATAATTAAGTTGAATATAAAAAATTTAAAGGATAGTTGTAAGTTTTTTTATAAGATATTATTTATGTTAAACTTATTTTTCATATATGTAACATATCATGCTGCTATGTTGTTCATCTCTCAGAAGATATGAGATCAAAATTAGAAGGTTAAATGGCAATCTTAATTTTAACTTAACATCTTAACTAACTTATTATGAACATTTCTTCAATCAGTTTCATAACTTGTATCATTAAAAAAAAATATTAATGCTCAATCAAAAAAGTACCTCATAACATTGGAAAGCTTCATTCAAAAACAATCTTTCTTGATAAGCTTGCTCTAGCTTTTTCAGTCTACGCAAATATTCTGGATGAGTCTCATCTTGCAGCTGCTGAAGTTGCTTTTTTAAGTTAGCCAATTTGTCCTGGTACATTCTAGAATAAGCAAGTAGATCTAGTACAATCCATGTTCAGAGATTTTGTAATAAACCAAATGGAAAGTATCCTGCTTGAAGTTTGAAGCCCTGATAGCTGAGCTAGATACCAGATACTAATGAGAGTTGAAAAGTCTCAATCCTAGTCAGGGCAAGTTGATTTCTTATTTATTTCAGACTCTTTCAATTTGACACCTTAAGTAGAACTATAACAACAACCATACCTCTCCTGTTTACTCATCTATTCTCCCTGACTGAGCATCAACTTTAAAAAATTTCCATATGGATCACCCTACTGTCTTGTTACCAGTGTTTTACTTACTAACCTTCAAGCCTCATCAAGCAGACAATTTCCCATCTAGTTCATTACAGTATCAAGTGTACTTCTAATTAATTATCGTAAATAATTACATGTGGCACAAGTACATCTTTCAATATTTCTTAACTTGAAACAACTTTCCATTTAGATCATAATGACACAGTGATAGTCCATGAACCATTCATAGCTCATTCTACACATTAAATTTCTACTTAAACTGAACGAGTTTATGTTGTAGTGTGTGTGGACAGATTATAGAGGTAGATAGAATGTTGAGTAACTCAAAACCAAACAAAAGAACTCGGCAAAAATGCAGTGATAAACCAACACAAGAAAACAAGAAATTTAAGACAAGCAAAAAATAAAAAAAATCATCCTCAGAATGTACTACTTCATGGTAAACATTTTAATATTTCATGACTTACCTGAAACTGATAAGTGGCAAGTTTTAAATTGGACTACTCTATTTTTCAAGTAAGTAGATAATTCCAAATTCCCATGGCAGTGCATTAATATGAAACATATATATGCTCATGGCAGTAGAAGAGTTAAATATTTTTAATTTAGCACTATTTATAATTAGATCAGAGACAAACTCAAAAACACACAAGAAATCTTAATGGATTGATTCATAGTGTAAAAAAAAAACTTGAGGTGTAACAAGTAGCTATAATGTTCTACTTTGTACTTACTAAAAAGAACTAGGGTTTATAGAGTTCATGCAAGCTAGAAAAAAAAAGACAAAAAGATAGAAACGTACATGCAAGTTTTTTCTTAAGTAGATTAAAACTGTGCTCAAAGGTTCATTTGCTACCAAGAAATGTGAAAATAGTTCTAAACATTCATCAGGCAGCATTCAAGCAGTGTCAGTTTTTTCTCTTGTTTATACAAATTATTTGAAATGTTTGAATAGTAATCACACATTAGATGTCACTAACGTGAAAATTCAGTCTTTTATTTTTCTGTTATATCTAGTGTCAGTTATAATTTCATTGTATACGCCACAGGTTAAGCCACATTTGGAGTATTGTGTTCAGTCTTGGGTGTCTTTTTGGGTGTGAATTTTTGGAAAGAGTTCAAAGAAGGACAACTAGGAGGATACCTGAAATGGAAAGGTTGCCATACAAGAACAAGTTAAGATATCTCAAATTGTTTTCTCTTGAAAGAAGAAGAGTCAGAAAGAACTTGACTGAAGTGTTTAAAATTGTTAAGGAAATTGATAGTGTTGATGCATCATCTTTTTCTGTACTTAATGTTGAGAATGATAAAACTAGGGTGTACAAGCATAAATTCTGTCAGGGTAGGAGTCATCTTCAGCTAAGGCAGTTATATTTTTCTCACAGGAAGGTTGGCCTTTGGAATGGTTACCTTCAAACATGGTAGATGCAATAAAATTAAGGGAATTGAAGGCTAGATAAATATTTAATCATTATATGTAGCAGCTCCTTCAATACATTGAAGCAGGCTATTGTGGTGAAGCATAGGGTGGGGATATGTTAATGGCTGCATTCTTTCAATAAAATGTATTGAATGTCTAGTGTACAAGATGTAAGAGAAGTGTTATGGTACAATAAATAAGAAACATAAAATACATTTGATCACTAATAATTTTAATGTTGAGAAAGGAGCATCAGTGTAATTCTATGCGCCACCCCCCAAGGCATACATTAATTAATCAGCAATGTTGTTAAAAAAATGCCACTGATTATAACACACTATCTTGTAACTTTTAGTAATAATTCAAGGTTTGCATTTATTTTCCAAACAAACTGTTAGTGTTACTTTGTTCTGTTTTGCTGTTTATTTGTAATTATTTTTATCAGGTATGTTTAACTAACAAATAATTTTATGTTAAAAAGTCTGACTATTAACTTTCTTTGAATGGTGATTGTTAAATGTACATTTGCTTTGCTTAAGTTGGCTGCAGTTCTTTCAATTGGATGCTCTTGCAATGCAAGCATAGTGTATGTAGCTAAATAAGTGTTGCATGTATCATCAAATACATGTACATTAAGAGCATGCATTTTTTATTCTTAAAACATAAAAACATTAATATTATATATAATTCCTATAAAATAAATGAGTTGTCAATCAAATATAAAACAGTGGTTATAGTGATGTTATCAATAAATAATACAAACTGGTACTATCAAAAGTTCAAACCTTCATTCAGTAACATTTCTTGAACATTCCAAGGTCATACTTAACCTTCATTACAGCTCTAAAGCAGATATGTCTCTCTCTTAAGAGTAATTAATTAATTAATGTGTCATATTGTACCTAGCTAACACTGAATTTTTACCTTTTTTGATTAAGAGTCAACTGTTCAGGAAGATGATCCAGATAATGGGATTAAAGATACTTACCATATAGGTAACAATATAGTAATACTCACAACAAACAAAAGGTCTGAACGGCAATTAATAAAAAAATACTGAAATTAACTTAACAAGCAATGCTGTGTAAGATATAATTAATAAATATGTCAATGATAAAATACAATTGTAGGCAAGTATAACAATAAGGTTAGTACAAGCAACTTAACAAGTGTGAGGATTTAATTAGCATTATTTCTTCCTTCAGATGCAGGAGCCTGTTGGCACATATCCATTACTTACATTATTACACACTTATTACATTACACATTACTTCTATTAATAACTTACACACTTCCTATCGTACTTACATTTTGTGCAATCATCTTGTCTAAGCATGATATATAAATACTTAACTGCTGAGTCAGGAGATAAGTTAATAGATTTTCATTATTATGGTTTTTTCAGGTACTATCACGTAGGTTTTGACCTACCAGTGCCTGAGCTTAATATGTATGTACATGTGTCCAGTATACCACCCGTTTTTGTTGCTGCTCATTATGTGAATGTCACTGCTACAGTGTTCATGAGCTGTCCTTTGTTAGTTGTCTTTATGTGTTAATAAACAGTTCCTGAGATTAACTGATGTCTTTATTCAGCTAACTCAGGCTATTGTACACAATGTAGCTATGTTGACACTCACAGAACAAGATCATCACATCAGTAATCATGCATATGATATATAGTGAACAAAAGGAAGGAGCATCTTTCAAAATGATCACATAACTAAGCCTTTTTTAAATATGTAGGCAAATGATTTATAAGCATAAGGAAGAGTTTTATTGATGATGGATATATAAACCTTGTATTGCCTAGTACTGATCATACCTGAAGAAGACA